CTGCAACCATGAATAAATATTTTATTTTGGGTTGCGTGATTTTTCGATCTCCCTGTATGTATAATATTTAGCACACACTAATGGGGGGGGGGGGCGATGCTTAGCTAGTGGGGTCCGGACCTCCAGCAACATCCCTTCATCACCGCAGCCCACACATTACATGGGCAGTCTTGATTACTATTGCTTCGTATAAAATCTTATAAAATATATTTTACTATTATCGCAAGAAAGTACAAATTAGTAGCTTTTGATTTTTTAAACTCTTAACCAAACGTCGCATTCGAACAGTTAGCATTTCTCCTTTCGCTTCATGTTTGGTAGATCCTGGGTTCATATCTCGCCCCGATGACGGAGGCAGTTTGACCTCCGAAACGTTGGTAAACACCTACCATACTACACGGCGCAACAACCCAGAAGACAGAAATCTTCAACTATTTAATTTGTTTAGCATCGAGTAATATAAACGGATGGTATCAAGGATTCCAACATTTGCGAGTTGCCCTTCGAACAGAAATATCTCGACACAACGGAGATGATGATGTCTGCGTACGAACAGCTGCCGGTTTTTATTTTTAAACGATGAAAGCGATATGTTGCAAATTAATTTTCAAAGATACGGCATCTGGTAGACACCGTCAGAAAGCTCTGCTTAGTTACCTTTTCTCTCTATGAAATGTTGTTACAGTTCAGAAATATTACATCAACTTTGGCAATCAGAGAAGAACCTGAAGGCGTCTAAAGTTCATGTCTTGCGATTAAAATAACTCCGTAAAACCTATATAATTGTACCAGTCTTGAATGGAAACTTGTCCTTAAGAGATAACGTATTCAGTCGCGAGAATTTAGAGCGAAAACATAAAATTACCGGTACCTATAATAATCGGAAACTGTTTAACGCAGATCCGGAACTGAAAAGACCCTCATGGAATCCAGCCTCCTTGATTATGCGTATTATGCCTCTGGGAACTGGTCTGTGAAGAAACATTCCTGCGGTGTATCAGTTACGAGGTTGAGTACAAAGAGGTGTTATAAAAAGATTGGCCTCCGAGGTGCTAAAAAGTCACGGCGTCGCTACGTATAATTATTATTGCAGTTGCTCATTGTGTTCGCTTTTAAAGCTTACTGTTGTAATTAAACACTTGAGTCTATGAAAAAAAAGCATTGTAATTTGTATAACAAATTACGAGACTTTACCTTCAGCTTTCAGCGGGCATTACGTCACATTCCATGAGCGGTTTAAGACATTGCAGCCGTTCAGTTCACAATCTTTTATCTTCCTGTGTCTTATCCAGAAGTCTAGTATGAAGTCCCGGTATACAAACCATCTTGTTTTTGAGTTGGTGCTAAACTTGATGTCATATCCTGAGGGAAGAGGATAGATGTAGGGTGTCCCAGAAACAAGTGCAGAAGATGATGTTCGGACATAAGAGAGAAGTAACGAGATGGAAAAAATTATGTCATGAGCTTTATAATTGTTCTCTTTACTGAATTAGAGTGATCAAGTAAAGGAGGTTGAGACAGCTGGAACGAGTTGCATGAGGAACTTCAGAGATTGACAGTTTGCATGAAAATCTGAAAAAAAAGTCTGCTTTTGAGGCAAGGCATAGATGGGAGGATATTATTAAAATGGATCTAAAACAGTGTGATAGGGTGTGGACTGGATTAATTTGGTTCTGGATAGGGACCAGTGGTGTGCTTTTGTATTATCGGCAATGAACCTTAGGGTTCCTGGGGGGGAGATGTTGAATAGATGCGCGACTATTAGCTTGTCGAGCTGGTTAATATTAGGTGACGAAGGGAGATCAATTTGTGAAGATTCCCGTATATTTCTTTCCGTTCTCCTGTTACTTGCTATTCTGTAAATATTATTCTCAGTATGTTTTTGTCAGGTCATCCTCAAAATAAGTGTTCTCTTATACTGAGATACAAATTTCGACACTAATTTCAAACATGGGGTAAAATTGTGGTTCTGTTTTGGGAGGTTAAGGATTCCGAATCGAATGGTGTAATCATTTTCCGATTCTGATCAGCTCTTAATTTCGAAATGAATGTACCGTCGCTGTAAGCTGTTATTACCCGTGTAGTGTCAAGTGGGATAGAGGTGGCCCGCTTCAGTAGCGCCCGCCTCTTGAGTCACCCACCTCTCTGTCCACGCCAGCAGACGTTCACAGACAGACACGCACTGCACACTAAAAATACCGCAGCGCTGTCAGTTATTTCGGTATCACGCAGTGAATGAAACCCGCATACGACCAGTCGAATTAAATCTTCGTTCAGCGGTTTTGCCAGATATGTTTCAAAAATATATTAAGTTATATTAGGTGGACTATGTCTTCTTCTCTCGCTCCAAGGTACATTTTTAGCAATAATTGCTTATGGTTAAACGAGCCGCTTTTCAAGATAAGTTGGCTCCGAGTGAACACAGTTTAGCTCCAGGCGTCTGTTGTTTCACGACGGACTCAGGCAACAAAGTGAACCTTGTAGTCTCTTATAAGGGCCGGGTTCTTATTGATATGAAATTTGGACAATTAAAATTCCTTATACCAGTGTTATGTTGGACATTATCCACTGTTTGAGGTAGTTTGACGGGTGACTGTACTATGTCTTCAGGTAACTAACTGACTGTATAGAATATGCCCCATACAATTGGCAGTGTCAAAAATAATATTGCAACACTGAATCATTGGAACAAAGCTTTAGAGAATAGTTCGACATAACATTCTGTTTGTAATGTCCCCTGACGAAAAAAGGAAATATCGTTTGAACACAGAACGTGTGGTTAACCGGATGGAATTGTGGAACATTCTTAGCAGTTTCTCGTCAAGTCTAGGCTTTTACTTGCTGTCGACGTGTCTGCTTTCGCTGTGCCCATGCCTTGGCGTGTAATACAACTTGGGGAAAGTAACAGCTTTGCCGCTTATGTCCGTTATATTTCATTAGACCTTACGGCCATTCGTTGGATAACTTAACACAGGATATTTATGCGTACTCGAGAGACGAAGATCGTGGTGTCTCTGACGATAGTGATGTTGGAACCATGTACACTGGGATACTGGGAACGACCCGTTCTTCAAGTGCCTGAGCACTGCGGGTCCCAACGTTTTCGTTGGCTTTGATGTATAGACATTTTGGTGGGACTCCTTGGACGAGGGATCGGCCCGTCGCAAGGCCTCTACCTGTACACAGGACAGACATCCACGGCTTGAGCGGGATTCGAACCCACGGTCCCAGCGACCAAGCGGCACAAGGCCCACGCCTCAGACCGCGCGGCCGCTGCGCACCATGTACACACCTCTTGCAAAGTAGCTAACTGCCACCATCATCGGGGCGATAAGTCGCCAAGGTGATAGAGGCAGTAAGCACCTCTCCGGTCAATATCTACCAGACTACACGGCGCGGCATCCCAGAAGACAGCAGTCTTCGTACTATCGCCGGGACAACCTGAAATCTCGCTGTCATCCGAGTTCTTATTGTGGCCTTAAAATCAGCGTACATACTTGGCGCGCAACAAGGACAGACGGTCGGTCGCAGAAAAAGGGGACTGTATACTCCGATAAACTTCCACACATGTTCACAGTGACCAAATCGGGATAGAAGGCCATCGAGGATAATAAAAACATCTTCGGCTCCAAGGAAAGAAACGATTCCGTTTACCTACGTGATGAAGAATGCATAAGGGTTGCATTTTGTGTGATTGTTAAAGCAGAAACATTTCTGTTTAGTGATGATTATTGACCAACTTTATGTAGCAGAACCCCTCTTGAGAAGGTGATAGTCGCTCAGCTAGTCACAAAATTCCACGTGTGGGATGGAACTCATTTCATTACCGTGTCGGCCCATCAGACCTTATTTCTTCAGCACAAATTTTCGTTCTAATTTCACCAGATTTTCTTCCATCAGGTTTCTTACTGAAACTTCGTAAGAAGTTCTTGTAACACCCATGTGGACACTGAATAGCTGTGAGTATGTCAAGTAAGCAGTCACAGACAGATGAAATTGGCAGTACTCCAACATGTTACACAATGTCACAAAGACCCTGATTCTTTGTCCCAGTGTAAGAAATGTTACAATTCGAACTTTCTTTTCTTAGCTTCAGGCTGAGCTCAGACATACCCTCTCTTCATATTAAAACATAAATCTTAATGCACTGTGGAGTCAGACTTTAACAATGTCAGACAGTGTTGTTATTTCGTCTGTCCATGTAGGAATTACAGTAAACTGAAGTGACTACAATTATTTCAATAACTGTTATTTACTCATTGAGCGACTTTCACTTAGTCCGTGATTGTCCTTACCTGTTTGTTGAGAACTTAGTACATTAGCAAAAACAGATAATGCATTGTCTACTATGATTTACAGACCTTGGAAGTAAACAGTCTTTGTACCTAATTGCAAATCGTTCATTGTGATCAGTTCTGTATAGGTAGCTTTCGAGTTAAAAACACTTGTTCAGAATGTTATAGCATGTTTGTTTGAAGTTGGAGTCTGAGGTTGTGCTGTCATATATTGGTCAAATGTTATATGGTAGTGAAGCCACACAAATTTAGACATTATACATATTGTGGTACCCAAGCTTGTGCAGGACGTTCCTCACTGGGCACTTCCCAAAGTTTATTTCTTATAATCATTCGAGGTGAATGTTTTCGTAGTTATGTAACTTGGATAAAATTATATCATTCCTTCAGACGTAGAGTAACCTTTATAACAGACACCTTGTTCATGATATTCGATTATCTGCACAGAACTATGTTGCATTCCTATACCAGATGAATGAAAATATGTGCTTTATTTGTATGAAATGGTTTGTTATGAATTACAGTTAATGAAGGTCTTAGATATTTGCCAGGCAACAGCTGTCAGGTTACTGGCATCTGAATCACTGCATATGAAATTGTAAGGTGTTTGGGAGAAACGCATCTTGGAACAATACTCGGAGAGCTGTGTGTGCATTTTTACTGCAGCAGGAGTGTGGAATGAAAACATAATAAAAATGTTTCAAATTGCAAATTATAAAATGACTATCATTTACTTTGCAGCATATATATATAACATATTTTAGAACAGCACAAGGCATTCATCACAATAATATCATATCCCATCCTTAGCGTCTTTTAAATACAAAGGAAAGAATAAGTCTTGTATATATCACAGTTGAGCTAAATTAGGAGGCAGAAGTTCCCTCCCCAGGATCGTCTTTCTCCTTGGAAGTGACATTGTCCTGGTCAGGCTTGGTGGGAAGTGGACGGTTAGCCATTTTACTGGAGCACTTGATGGTGCTTGTGGGTGGCACTTCTGTGTAAACATGAACTGCAGTGTCTGTTGGCTCAGTGTATTCACATAAAACAGAAATTGGTTGCTGCACCCTGCCACCCACAGTGGCTGACACCCTTGGCAAGATACTCTCACCCAGGGCACGCAAGAAGCTGAGTGGTCTGGCTGGCGATTTGTTGGACCCAGAGCTTGTGGTTGGCAAGGTAGTGGCACCTCCTCCAGGTAGTTCTGCATACAGATGCTGTTCACGGTCTCGGGGTTCCACGTACTCGCAGACTACCGCTGGTTGCCGGTTCCTCCTCACCTGTGCATAAGACAGAAGTTTGTCTGGCGATGGTGCTCTCGTGCCAACGCTGCACGTCGTAATCTTTTTCGACCTGTTCTGCCTTAGTCTGGGTGGCGGTGGTGACGGAGCTTGAATCACATCATACAGATTGTCATCGTCTTCGTCGTCGTAGTATTCAGCATTACGTGACGTGGAGGGCATGTTATTGTTGTTGCAACTTTCTTCAACCTTGATGAGATCATACAAATGTTCTATCATGTCTCGCGCTTCACTGTAATTTTCTGGGTCATCTAGTTTCTCTCGTAGTGACTGGAGGAGTTCCTGAGTCAGTTCTTCAGGCAGAGTCTGAGTCCACCTGTCTTCACATGCCACTTGTTCAGTTTGCCCCTCACTAACGTTATCTTCAGCGATGACCAGCAAACCTTGCCTCTGCTTCTGTTGCTGTTGCAACTCTGTGTACTCGTGCATGGACAGCCGGGATATAGACCGTGCTGTTACAAGACCCCGTGTCCCAATGCCTTGGAAGAAAGTCGAGAACATGGTGAGGCAACTCGTTGTGGTGGGTAGCAGTATTATCCTTGCCTGCAGGCAGTACCCATTTCGCCGCAACCAGAGAATTCCTGTGATCGTAACGATGATGATCATTGCACACACCACCACTATGAAAATTAATCCCAGCACTTTCTTTTCGTGGTCCACCTCACTACTGTCTGCAGAACTGCTCCGCACCACACTCACAGCACTCTCACCCTTACTCATCTCTTCACACACTATCACCTCTCGTGATCCACACACCAGTTCAGTGTAGTTCCTCATATTTACAAAGCCCTGCGGCACGTTGAAACACCGTGCCAGTACCGAATCTACTGTGCACGAGCTGGTGTTGAAAATCTCATCCAGCGCTTCCTTCTCCGATGTCACCATTTTTTTCACCCACGAGATCAAGTTGCAGTGGCAGATCTGCGTAAATCTGTTGTCTGTTAGCCTTGTTCTTATTCCTGCACCGCCTTCTATAGCTTTCACTGCGAACCTCAGGGCTCCAGGGTTGAACTGATCTACTTCGTTACCCGCAAAACTGAATTCGTAAGTGCTAACTCCTGGCAGTGACTCGAATGGCATGTCCATTGCATCCGCTTCCAACCACTGGAATGTATTGTCGGTCATGACGATACGGTTCCAGTACTTCAGAACAAATCCTCGTGATAGGATCTTCTCGAACACATTATTATTGAAGGTTGCTTTGGCTACAGTTATGTTCATGGCACCTTCCAGCACTTCAGACACCCTGAAAAAAAACACCAGTTGACCAGTTTTCCTTAAACTCTGTATGAACATAATTTCTTTGGACACCTCCCTCTTTTGGAACTTCATAACTTTCTGTGATAACCTGACTGCAGAAACATTTCCAATGAGCTCAAATCAGTGTACAGAGATCTCTCTCGTAGGCTAAAGCCAACAAACGAACAAACAAAAACAGAATAATACGTTTTAAGCCCCACTAGAAGACTGACTAAGAGATGGATGGATTGGGCCAGGATTATTTGTAGTAGCTTGCTTTAGTATCGACGGTGTCCGAACGTTCTGATTTTGCACAACAAAATAGTTTCGTGATTGAAATACACAGAAGAAGGCACATATTACAAAATTGGTTATGACTTCACATTCAAAACTCTGGCTATCTTCAAAGCACGAGTGACTTTCAAACGTAAGATTGTTTATTTCAGTCAACAAGCAAATCTATTCTACACCTCGCATGTCTTAATTTCACAAGCCTGGTATTGTATTAGGGACGATCGATCGGTTACCTGGAATGCTGAATAGTTAGGTTGGTTATGGCTGCCTGCACAGCATGGGATGCCAGCACCCGTATTCTGACGCCGGACATTTCCAAGTACTGGATGAGAGTACGGTCGCTGAAGGCACCCGCTTCCACGCGATGTAGAGACGTGTTCTGGAACACCACGGAGAACAGCGTGTTGGCACAGAAGGCGTCGCGTCGAACTGTACGCACTTCCGCGTCCACTAGTCGTACCTCTGCCGCTGACGAAGGGAACGCGCTCTGAGGTAGTTCTGCCATGATCACGTTCTGCAGCAACACCTGAACGAGCAGAAGCTGTTGTTCATCGTGGTCCTATGCGAGAGAAACAACCTTACCTGTGGATTGGTCCCCTGTGGCGTATTGCTTTTAAGAGCCCTTATCAGCTTCGTCTAGACATAAAGTTAGATCAGCATTCCATAGCATCTCCATTGCGTTTTGGACTGGGAAAAGACAGTCCTCCATAGGTACAACCAATTCAGATTTGGCTACAAGTTTACTTACCAGATTCTCATGACAGGACTTCGAGCCTTGACTCGGTATGCAACTATCAAATTCTGAGGAGTAACTGTTATATATTTAGTACAGAATAATGTGTCGGGGGAGACGAAGTAAATCTTCACATATTCTTAATCTCGGCACTGGATGAAAATGGAGGTGAGTGATCAGTATCACGCGCCGGCCGTTTTTCCACCTGGGAAATGGCACCCTGTACACAGCAGATAGTAGGATGGCTTGAGAAAAACCTCTGCCGGGGATCGAACACCGGTCTAGTACGTAGTCAGCCACTTTACTGATTGAACTATCCTACTTCACACTCCGTGGAGGTGCGTGTTTTATCAACACTGGAAGTACTGTTAATATAAATTTAATTCTGTTGCACAGTGGGCTGCCTGTGCATAAAAACTAGTGTTTCAATGTCGATCTACATATATTATCGATAATTTGAATCTCTTTAAGAATATTTGTTTGCAACAGTTTATGACAAACCACGTCCCAACACTAGTGGACGAGACGAAGTGTAATTTACTTCAAAAAACTGTTTATATTAAAAACCGTAATTTAGGGACATTTTTTTATTTCTTTGTCTTCGTTTAAGAGTATGAGTACTACAGAACCCTGGTAGCTCTTAGTTAAGGTCCTTCGTTCTGTGTGGAAGGTCAGGGTTCGGTT